GCCGTTCTTTTCGATTTACAATTTCAAGTTGCAGAGTTATTCATTGTGTTGAAAATTGTGTGTCAATCGATGGAGTTTCTCTCGTAATTTACACGTTGCAAGAATCTTTGTTCTCTCTTGGTTATCAGATCATGCAGGTGTTCCCATAGTTATAATGGTGTTGATGTATGTGATGTGATATTGGAGATCATAGTGGTGTTAGTAGTGATGGTAATGTTAGTATTGTGGAAAGTCCTGCAGCATAAGGTGAGAGAGGCGAAGTACCATTGTTCACGAGGACACTGTTATTCTTGCATAATATATTTGGCAACCTGCTCACATTCTCGCACATTTGGCGCCGTAGATCTCAGAGGCCGCCGCTGTAAATTTTCTACGATTTCCTATCTTGACAGTTGCGTGATGGATGAATAGTAGAGCTTTTTGTAAATTCACCTGAATAGTAACCACTCCAGGTGAAGTAGTTTACACTAAAATGAGTACTTTGTTAATCTAATATAGTTTTCCCTGAAAATTTGTAAATCTTACCTGCGAGTCATTTATTTTGTATGTGCATCTACTATAGTTTACTGTGAAGAGAAAGTTGTTTTGAATTGCATCTGCGACGGACATTATTATACATTAAAGAATCTGTCAGACCCTGCTTCATTGCATAAAATTCGTGGTTAAAATTTTTATGTAGTGGAATTTAGGGATGGAAAAAACCTGTCTTAGGAACTTTATGAAGCTTTATAACAGTCGTGGAAACACAGGAAGATAGGATCTTGGACTATTGATAGAGTACCACCCACAACAAGAGTATGCTCCAGAATTCGAAGAATAGAGCGGGTTGAAGAATTGTGTGTTCCATTTGATCAAGAATTACCTGAAAAACAGAATGTTTTCCCAATATAAGTCAACGACCTGCCAGAAGAGAAGAATAAATAGACGACGGTGATAAATTCCAGGGAAATCTCAAGACTGCAGATGTGGTCAGATATAATTGACTTCTGGAGTTCAGTCCAAACAAATGACAGGTCTTGTGTCTTGGAGAAAACTAGGAAAGACCTGACACGGTACAATTTGCACAGAGAAAAACTGCAAATATCAGTGAAGGAGGGTGGTTAATATACGATGAAGCATATCGCCAGGTATGCACACACAAAACGTATAACATCAGTGGCATATGCAAGGTTAATAAAACCCAGAAGAGCATGCAGGAACTCTGACAAAAGACCTTCACACCTTCATAAATGACATACATTAGGGCAATCATCGAGTATATGGCCCCAGCAGAACACCTTCACTGCACATATTAGTTCAGTCTACCTGTACTCCCTGGAACGCAGGAGAGAAAGATGCATAATATATACACCTGGATAATCCTAGGGAGACTGGTCTCGAGTCTGCACACGCAAATCGCTCCTACAAAAGCAGAATACTAGGCAACATTTTCCAGTGAAAGGCAAGGGTGCCATAAGTACACAGAGTAAACACAGTAAGTGTCCAGGGCCCATCATACACAAGGGGAATTACGAATAGACCCCATGGCTCCCTTCAAGAGGGAATTGGACAGATGCCTAAAGTCAGTGCCCGATCAGCCAGGCTGTGGTTCATACGTTTAATTGCATGCGGCCAGCAGTAACAGCCTGTTTGATCAGACCCAGATCTACCGGGAGACCTGGTCGAGGACCTGACAGCGGGGTCGTTGACCCCCAGAACCTCCAAGTAGACAGCATGGAGTCTACATATAGCCAAGCACGTACAGAAGTTCGAAAACGTCACAAAGTTTGCAGCCAGATTAGCACCAGACTTTGAAGAAACTAACCTGGCGACCATGGCGGAGAGGATTAAGGAAGACATTAGCATATATAGTCCAAAAAGGAAGTAATAGAACAGACAGGGACTGTTTCAGTTAAGCGGGCTTAGTCTGAGGGTGGTAGAAGTGGAATGATTTTAATGAAATGGCAAATTCGGTACACAACTTCAAGAGTAGATACGATAAGGCCCAAGAGGTTATTGATCGGCATCGCTAATTTCTTAGTCTAGGAGGTAGCGAGGAGTACTCTCTCGCGCGTATTTCTTTTTGAATGCGCGAGAGAACCAGGGTAAGGATTATTACAAGAGGTACTCGGCAGAATTGCTGGAGCAGACAGGGACAGATCTTATGGAATGTGTGAAAAAAAAAGGAACCACATAAATAGTATTACAGATATGTTAGGACCAACGACTATCCTGTCCCTTTTCACGTGTCCAAATTATTATTATTATAATCAAAAAGAAGCGCTAAGCCACAAGGGCTATACAGCACCACGTGTCCAAAGACGCAGTTTTTCCAGCAGCAAACACAACTTGTTGCTCTGCTCTTTTATTGAAAAAAAAAAAGTTAAGTTTTCATATTGAAGTTATGTAAGCACATTTGGAAGATGATCGTCACACACTGACGATAAATATCCGAGGAACAAGATCAGAGACACATATTCGCTAGTTATAGTAATTTTCTGGACGTTACACACAGCGCAAATGATAAAGCATTTTTTTTAAAGAATATTCTTAGGCAATTGTAAGGTGAGGCATTGTCGTCTTTGACACTGTGCCGAGGCTCTTGATTTAGGGAATGGGATCTGTGCTCCAGTTCCCCGAATTAAGCCTGAATGCCTTCCACATCCCCCCCAGGCGCTGTATAATCCTCCGGGTTTAGCGCTTCCCCCTTGATTATAATAATAATAATCTTTATATCTAAGTGTGTTATAGGTTGAAAGTTAAGACACATGTGCAACATCTGGTTATCTTTATTGTAGACGTTTCGCCATCCAGTGGCTTTATCAATACAGATTCTAGGACATAATTAGAAGACAGTAGAACTATATGCAAAAGATGAGGTAATCAGTCCCTCAGCCTTGGAGTTAGTGCTCACAGCATCGTGGTGGTGGAGAGAGTGGATCATAGGTAAGGAGACTGGCGGTTATATAGGCGCCAGTGGAAGGGACGTGTAGCAAACAAGGGCATAGTTACTGGTAGGCGGGATTCCCCAGTGGAAGCAGGTCCTACCCAAAGGGATGGGTTACTGCTACAACTAACCCATTCCTTTGGGTAGGACCTACTTCCACTGGGGAATCCCGCCTACCAGTAACTATGCCCTTGTTTGCTACACGTCCCTTCCACTGGCGCCTATATAACCGCCAGTCTCCTTACCTATGCTCCACTCTCTCCACCACCACGATGCTGTGAGCACTAACTCCAAGGCTGAGGGACTGATTACCTCATCTTTTGCATATAGTTCTACTGTCTTTTAATTATGTCCTAGAATCTGTATTGATAAAGCCACTGGATGGCGAAATGTCTACAATAAAGACATCCAGATGTTGCACATGTGTCTAACTTTCATATTGTCGGTATTTTAAACCTTTCTTGCACAATGTGTTATAGATTCTGTGAATGCGTCTCCACGGCCCCCGGGTCAGACCAGGTCTCATAAATGGGAAAGGAAGTATGTATTACAAATATAAAAAGTTATGAAATAGTGATAAATTAGACACGTGCAACTCTTGGGTATCTTTATTATGGAAATGTTGCACCACACAGTGGCTTCATCTGTCCATACAAAGGAGAATCGTGAAGAACAGGAGGAGAATGAGGTAATCAGTCCCTCAATCTTGAGTGGAATACAGCATATGAGCGGAGAAGTAGCTTATATATTGTAGGCAGGAGAGGTGCAGCAGGCGTAGGTGGTGTCACATTTGTCCAATGTGGAAGTAGGTCGTGTCCAAGGGTTAGGCAACCGAAGAATTCCCAAGTATTAAGATCCCAAGAAGTTGCAGTGTCTGACAGGATTGTAGATGAATGGTTCAGAGAACCGACATGTTGATAAATAAGACACGTGTGCAACTCTTGGGTATCTTTATTGAGGAAACGTTTTGCCACACAGTGGCTTCATCAGTCCATACAAAGGAAAATCGTGAAGAACAGGAGGAGAATGAGGTAATCAGTCCCTCAACAAACAAATCTTGTCAGACACCGCAACTACTTGGGAATTCTTCGCTTGCCTAACCCTTGGGCACGACCTACTTCCACATTGGACAAATGTGACACCACCTACGGCTGCTGCACCTCTCCTGCCTATGGTATATAAGCTACTTCTCCGCTCATATGCTGTATTCTATTCAAGATTGATGGACTGACCACATCGACTCAAGGTTGAGGAACTGATTACCTCATTCTACTCCTGTTCTTCACGATTCTCCTTTGTATTGACTGATGAAGCCACTGTGGGGCGAAACATTTCCTCAATAAAGATACCCAAGAGTTGCACATGTCTAATTTATCAACATGTCGGTTCTCCGAACCATTCATCTACAATGAAAGTGTTTACCAAGACGGTGATGTGCAATATATATACAGTGGACCCCCGCTTAACGATCGCCTCCAAATGCGACCAATTATGTAAGTGTATTTAAGTAAGTGCGTTTGTACGTGTATGTTTGGGGGTCTGAAATGGACTAATCTACTTCACAATATTCCTTATGGGAAAAAAATTCGGTCAGTACTGGCACCTGAACATACTACTGGAATGAAAAAAGTTCGTTAACCGGGGGTCCACTGTATATATATACAGACACGCGCCTTTAACCCCTGTTTTAGGAATTAGTATTCAAGACTGATGGTTAAGAAGGTGACAAACTAAGAATTTAGAAGTTTGCAAGGTTTACTTGCTGCTGTTTCATCTTTCCGGATGGGTAATATCTAGCAACCAACTCAGTGAAGGGTCACTACAACCACAAACAGGTGGTCAGATATTACAAACGTGACACATGAACATGCCTTATAGTAAAGGGTTGTTCAGCAGCGAGTGAATGTTGGTTACCCCTTTATACTATAGGGCCCCTGACCCAAGGAAATAGAAGTGCTCTCCCCCTTCAACTGATCAGGCCTTAGTAACTGCCTGTCATTCCCCATAATTTTAATTTTACATAGGGTAGCTAAACTAGCAAGTGCCGAGTTATTCATTACGTTATCATTTTCAGGTGAGGGTAACCAGGAATTGAAGGAGTTTCTCTCATCGCGCAATCCTCGACAGCAGCACTCGGCTACACTGGAGTCCTACTTGATCAAACCCATCCAGAGAATTCTCAAGTACCCACTGCTGCTGCAGCAGCTGAAGGCTCTCACCACACCTGGTGCTGACGAACACAGACACCTTGTGGGTATGTACTGCTGCTGCCCTAGGTGGTGGTGGCCAGCCAGGGGCGAGGGGTTGATACCCTCCCAACAGCGCCTCATACTGGAGCATACCCTTATGGGGGGGTATACACACTCAAATACAGGAGTAAAGTCTACGGACTTGAGAGCCAGGTTTTTTGAAAGTAGTGCGGTGTTGCTTTCCTTAGTCTGGCTTTTGTCTTAAAAAAAAAAGTTGCATGAATTTGAAGTCAAAATATGAGGGGAGGAAGGGGGGAAAAAGGTTTTAAATACATAGAAGAGCCTCCCTCCCTCTCTATGCTTACCACACTTGCAGTGTATGGATTTTCTTGAGGCATTTCGTTCAGGTCCGTCCATCCCAAGGTTATCTGTTGGAAATAAATCTGTGTAATTAATCTGTTTTCTTGATTATATATACACAAGACATTATCAGTCTATACCATCTCCGTCTTCCTCAGGTTTCCTTTCTTACTCTTCCATGTTTTTGGTCTCCTCTTACCTCTATCTCTTTATTACTATGTATCTTCTAACCTCTATACATATGATTCAAACCTTTATATGTCTACTGCATTTAGCAAGTGTTTTTTGCTTTCACATTTGCATGTTTCAATGTACAGCTAATTACAGTATTATATTCATCAAAGTGTTTTATTTGTGTGCAGTAGTGTTGTGGTAGGTGCTGTAATAGCACACACTAACTGCCTTGCCTGAGCCATAACTATTACCATCAGTACACTGGCATGTTACAGTTGTACAACCATCTTCACATACCAGCATTTCAAACCTTCCCAATTCAGCACTCAAATAAAACATAACTATCTGCCTCCTTTCTTTTATACTAGATCCACATGGCTTACTGCCAACAATAGGGAAGAAAGAGCATGTTGCAAACTAAATTTTAAAGATAACATTTCATTTTGCTAGAGCTTTATCAAGTCATGACTGACTTAACATATCATTTCTGCACCCAAAAATAGCTTGTTCTGAAAGATATCTCGTCACCATCACACAAGGAAATCAGTATCTTATAGTTTGTAAGTTACCGTAATAATATGAAGGCACTAACCCTGTTAGTCCTACAGCATCTGGGGAAATGGTGAGGTAGCTCCAGTTCCTTAGAATAACTCTTCAATGGCATCACAGAACCTTCCTTCCCCACTGAAAGCTAGGTAATCATTATTATCATAAGTGCTAAACCCTTATCATATCAGTCAAACCAGTTTAGTTTCTACATTTAGTTTAAAAGACACTATTATTTCAAACACTAAGGATTCTGATTGTACTGCAATTAACTTTTACAAAGACAAAGGTGTGTGTAGTTTGGAAGAGTTACCACTTGGATATGCAGTTTTTATATAATTTCCTTCATTACATTTCACTTGGTTAAACCAGACCTATGTTTACCTCACATACTCGTCATACAATTTAAATGGGATTCAAGAGCTTCCTTATGAATCCAGATAAATATACAGTAATTCTTACGTTTTGTATATATTTGTTATGACCATCATACACAAGCTTGAATTTTCTTTGATATTCCTTCTACACAGACATTTACTGTACTGTGTAAAGGTATGATGTCTAGAACACCATTTCTGTAACTTGCTCACCACTCAGTAACTGAAATGGATTTATTTTTTTTTTTTGAGTAATAATGTTCAGTTACTATGAATAAAAGTGACTTTTTTGTCATCAAAATCATAATTTAGAATTGCATATAAATCTGATGTGGAAAGAAACGTCTTACTGTGAAGTTCTTAGATTTTTGTGAACTTTAATGCTTCCAACTACCACAGCCTACAGATCACAATGGCTACACAGTCATGTATCAAACTGAGAATAAAGAATAAATCCTACTATGACCTCACTAGTAAACTCCAACCACTTTACTTACACTTAAAAACTTGTTAGAAATTCTCAAGGTCGTGTAACAAACCCTTTCAAATTAACAAAGATTCATCAAGTACGTATTCAAATTATTATTATTATAATCAAAAAGAAGTGCTAAGCCACAAGGGCATACATACTCAAAACAAGGTTGAATTGTATAGTAAAACTATTATGTTCTAAAACCCCAAAAATACTTCCATTAAACTAGATTCAGATTATAAACTCGATAATATTTTACTGTTGTATACATTAACCCTTAAACGGTCCAAACGTATATATACGTTCTCTCGCGTAGTGCCCCAAATTTTTTGAGATTTTTTTTTTTTTAATAGGAAAAAGAGCATATAGTACCCAGGCATCCCCAATTTTTTTCACATGGCTCACGGTGAGTGCACACACCCATTCTCTTATGTCTAGGTAACTCAGGCTTATCGTGGCAATGTTGAATGAATGACAAAGAAAACATATATACGTATACGTTTGGGGCGCTACGCGAGAGAACGTATATATACGTTTGGACTGTTTAAGGGTTAAATGCTTCAAATTTCATTACACTTGAGCTTTCTTAGAGGGCTAATTTATTCATGAAAACCCGTAAACCCATTATATCCATACAGTGCTAAAAGTTTTACAGATAAGAAAATATCCTCATGATACCTAAGATTAGGCTGGGTTTTTATCCATAGACTGTGCTTAGGAGGCAATAGTAACCCATCCACAATCTAAAGAACAACCCTAATACCTTCCCTCAAGAGAAGTTCCTTGACACCAGTGAGGGGTTCCTGATCCAAGGAAATCACCTGACCTTCCCCTTCCTTTGAACCTCATTGACTCGCATTACCCCAGGTGCTGCACTGTCCTCCCCATAAAGGCAACCCAACTTCTGGGAGGAATTCATTAGAGGGCTGACCTTGTGCTTGCCTTTAGACTTTCTTCCTGAGACACTACCAAGAACTTTACAACTTCATCAATACAGCAAGTGTCACAATGAAAGAATATTCAAGATGCTTCCTAGATTACATACCAACTTACAGTTTAGAATAAGAATGCCTCCCACACTGGTGCTTTTTGTATTATTCTTACTCCTGGTTTAAAGTGTTAGACACGTAAGAAATAGGTCTGTATCATTTTTTGTACACCTCACTGGGTCTGATTTTGCATCTTGTTTGTGATAACAGAGGCCCTCAAAGTAATGGAGAAGGTAGCAGAGCATATCAACGAAATGCAACGGATCCATGAGGAATATGGTGCAATATTTGACCATTTATTTCGTCAACATCAAAAGTCTTGCAAACAAGTGAGTTTCTTTTACCCTCTTTACAAGGATGTGTATTGATATGTATTGTTACATGACTAATAGTGTTCAGTGAATGGATGTCGGATGTGACCTCTCCAAGACACCCTTTATTCCCGGAATGCTTTGATTAGCTGATAAATAGTTTTATAAAACAAATTTATAATACTTATATTCAATATAGGAACCTAGGATCTCACGTGATCCACACCTCCCACAGCCAGTCGACCTATCTCCAGGGGATCTTCTCTACTACGGAGGAGTCGAGTGGCTCAATATCTCGGACTTTTTAGGGAAAATAAAGAAAGGATTGGAGCTCCATGCCATGTGTTTCGTTTTTAAAACAGCAGTTGTCTTCCTTTGCAAGGAGAGATTAAGACAAAAGAAAAAGCTGATGGTTAGTGGTGTTGTAAGTGACTAATGTGTTTGTTGTACTTATCTTTCACCTGTCCATTACAAGCTGCATAAGTGGCAAAATCTAAATCTAATCACTATTCCACATCTTAAAACTAGTTATCTTTTGCAACCTAGTACTAGACTAGGTACATCTAGTACATCTTTCTACATCAGCCCATTACTCCATATTTTAAACTAGTCATCTTTTGGCAAATTAACCTATACTATTACCTTTTACACCTCATCAATATCCAATACAGTATTCCAGTTTCAACATTCCTGGTTCCAGTGTTCTGGTTTAAAGATAACTAGTCCCAATATTCAAGTTTTATGGTACTACCTTGTTCCAGTATTTAAGATACCTAGTTCCTTTCCAGTTTTACAATACATATCTCCATTATACTAGTTTTAAAATAGCTAATTCCTGTTTTAAGATACTGTGCCTAATTCCATCATTAAGATACCTAGGTATTTCAGTTGTATGATACCTATTATAGTTCCTACTGGGAAGTCCCCTTTTGAGTGGATGTAATTTGATTTTTCCTTGTACATTATTTGAACATTTCCTGTTTATGTTAATTAAGCCACCATGTTGCCAGACATCTCATGAATGATTTTTAACTTGCTTGTTTGTTGTCAGATATACATTTTCATAAATTATATAATCTAACCTGGGTTGGATTAGGTTAGTTTAGATAACCCTATTTAATCTACCCTTTTTTTTTTTTTTTCAACTAGTCGGCCATCTCCCACCGAGGCAGGGTGACCCAAAAAAGAAAGAAAATCCCCAAAAAGAAAATACTTTCATCATCATTCAACACTTTCACCACACTCACACATTATCACTGTTTTTGCAGAGGTGCTCAGAATACAACAGTTTAGAAGCATATACGTATAAAGATACACAACATATCCCTCCAAACTGCCAATATCCCAAAACTCCTCCTTTAAAGTGCAGGCATTGTACATCCCATTTCCAGGACTCAAGTCCGGCTATATGAAAATAACCGGTTTCCCCTGAATCCTTCACTAAATATTACCCTGCTCACACTCCAACAGATCGTCAGGTCCCCAAGTATCATTCGTCTCCATTCACTCCTATCTAACACGCTCATGCACGCTTGCTGGAAGTTTCCAAGCCCCTCGCCCACAAAACCTCCGTTACCCCCCTCTTTCCAACCCTTTCGAGGACGACCCCTACCCCTCCTTCCTTCCCCTATAGATTTATATGCTTTCCATGTCATTCTACTTTGATCCATTCTCTCTAAATGACCAAACCACCTCAACAACCCCTCTTCTGCCCCTGACTAATGCTTTTATTAACTCCACACCTTCTCCTAATTTCCACACTCTGAATTTTCTGCATAATATTTACACCACACATTGCCCTTAGACAAGACATCTCCACTGCCTCCAACCGTCTCCTCGCTGCTGCATTTACCACCCAAGCTTCACATCCATATAAGAGTGTTGGTTACTACTATACTTTCATACATTCCCTTCTTTGCCTCCATAGATAACGTTTTTTTGACTCCACATATACCTCAACGCACCACTCACCTTTTTTCCCTCATCAATTCTATGATTAACCTCATCCTTCATAAATCCATCCGCTGACACGTCAACTCCCAAGTATCTGAAAACATTCACTTCTTCCATACTCCTCCTCCCCAATTTGATATCCAATTTTTCTTTATCTAAATCATTTGATACTCTCATCACCTTACTCTTTTCTATGTTCACTTTCAACTTTCTACCTTTACACACATTCTCAAACTCATCCACTAACCTTTGCACTTTTTCTTTAGAATCTCCCATAAGCACAGTATCATCAGCAAAAAGTAACTGTGTCAATTCCCATTTTGAATTTGATTCCCCATAATTTAACCCCACCCCTCTCCCGAACACCCTAGCATTTACTTCTTTTACAACCCCATCTGTAAATATATTAAACAACCATGGTGGGAAAAGAGGAAGGTGGCAACAACAAGTAAGAGGGAGGTGAAAGTGTATAAACTAAGGGAGGAGGAAGTTCAGGTGAGATATAAGCGACTATTGGCAGAAAGGTGGGCTAGTGCAAAGATGAGTAGTGGGGGGGTTGAAGAGGGTTGGAATAGTTTTAAAAATGCAGTATTAGAATGTGGGGCAGAAGTTTGTGGTTATAGGAGGGTGGGGGCAGGAGGAAAGAGGAGTGATTGGTGGAATGATGAAGTAAAGGTTGTGATAAAAGAGAAAAAGGTAGCTTATGAGAGGTTTTTACAAAGCAGAAGTGTTATAAGAAGAGCAGAGTATATGGAGAGTAAAAGAAAGGTAAAGAGAGTGGTGAGAGAGTGCAAAAGGAGAGCAGATAATAGAGTGGGAGAGGCACTGTCAAGAAATTTTAATGAAAATAAGAAAAAATTTTGGAGCGAGTTAAAACAAGTTAAGAAAGCCTAGGGAAAATATGGATTTGTCAGTTAAAAACAGAGTAGGGGAGTTAGTAGATGGGGAGATGGAGGTATTGGGTAGATGGCGAGAATATTTTGAGGAACTTTTAAATGTTAAGGAAGAAACAGAGGCAGTAATTTCATGCACTGGTCAGGGAGGTATACCATCTTTTAGGAGTGAAGAAGAGCAGAATGTAAGTGTGGGGGAGGTACGTGAGGCATTACGTAAAATGAAAGGGGTTAAAGCACTGGAACTGATGGGATCATGACAGAAATGTTAAAAGCAGGGGGGGATATAGTGTTGGAGTGGTTGGTACTTTTGTTTAATAAATGTATGAAAGAGGGGAAGGTACCTAGGGATTGGCAGAGAGCATGTATAGTCCCTTTATATAAAGGGAAAGGGGACAAAAGAGACTGTAAAAATTATAGAGGAATAAGCTTACTGAGTATACCAGGAAAAGTGTACGGTAGGGTTATAATTGAAAGAATTAGAGGTAAGACAGAATGTAGGATTGCGGATGAGCAAGGAGGTTTTAGAGTGGGTAGGGGATGTGTAGATCAGGTGTTTACATTGAAGCATATATGTGAACAGTATTTAGATAAAGATAGGGAGGTTTTATTGCATTTATGGATTTAGAAAAGGCATATGATAGAGTGGATAGAGGAGCAATGTGGCAGATGTTGCAAGTATATGGAATAGGTGGTAAGTTATTAAATGCTGTAAAGAGTTTTTATGAGGATAGTGAGGCTCAGGTTAGGGTGTGTAGAAGAGAGGGAGACTACTTCCCGGTAAAAGTAGGTCTTAGACAGGGATGTGTAATGTCACCATGGTTGTTTAATATATTTATAGATGGGGTTGTAAAGGAAGTAAATGCTAGGGTGTTTGGGAGAGGGGTGGGATTAAATTATGGGGAATCAAATTCAAAATGGGAATTGACACAGTTACTTTTTGCTGATGATACTGTGCTTATGGGAGATTCTAAAGAAAAATTGCAAAGGTTAGTGGATGAGTTTGGGAATGTGTGTAAAGGTAGAAAGTTGAAAGTGAACATAGAAAAGAGTAAGGTGATGAGGGTGTCAAATGATTTAGATAAAGAAAAATTGGATATCAAATTGGGAGGAGGAGTATGGAAGAAGTGAATGTTTTCAGATACTTGGGAGTTGACGTGTCGGCGGATGGATTTATGAAGGATGAGGTTAATCATAGAATTGATGAGGTAAAAAAGGTGAGTGGTGCGTTGAGGTATATGTGGAGTCAAAAAACGTTATCTATGGAGGCAAAGAAGGGAATGTATGAAAGTATAGTAGTACCAACACTCTTATATGGGTGTGAAGCTTGGGTGGTAAATGCAGCAGCGAGGAGACGGTTGGAGGCAGCGGAGATGTCCTGTCTAAGGGCAATGTGTGGTGTAAATATTATGCAAAAAATTCGGAGTGTGGAAATTAGGAGAAGGTGTGGAGTTAATAAAAAGTATTAGTCAGAGGGCAGAAGAGGGGTTGTTGAGGTGGTTTGGTCATTTAGAGAGAATGGATCACAGTAGAATGACATGGAAAGCATATAAATCTATAGGGGAAGGAAGGCGGGGTAGGGGTCGTCCTCGAAAGGGTTTGGAGAGAGGGGTAAAGGAGGTTTTGTGGTAAGGGGCTTGGATTTCCAGCAAGCGTGCGTGAGCGTGTTAGATAGGAGTGAATGGAGACGAATGGTACTTGGGACCTGACGATCTGTTGGAGTGTGAGCAGGGTAATATTTAGTGAAGGGATTCAGGGAAACCGGTTATTTTCATATAGTCGGACTTGAGTCCTGGAAATGGGAAGTACAATGCCTGCACTTTAAAGGAGGGGTTTGGGATATTGGCAGTTTGGAGGGATATGTTGTGTATCTTTATATGTGTATGCTTCTAGACTGTTGTATTCTGAGCACCTCTGCAAAAACAGTGATAATGTGCGAGTGTGGTGAAAGTGTTGAATGATGATGAAAGTATTTTCTTTTTGGGGATTTTCTTTCTTTTTTTGGGTCACCCTGCCTCGGTGGGAGACGGCCGACTTGTTGAAAAAAAAAAAAAAAAAAAAACCATGGTGACATTACACATCCCTGTCTAAGACCTACTTTTACCGGGAAGTATTCTCCCTCTCTTCTACACACCCTAACCTGAGCCTCACTATCCTCATAAAAACTCTTAACAGCATTTAGTAACTTACCACCTATTCCATATACTTGCAACATCTGCCACACTGCTCCTCCATCCACTCTATCATATGCCTTTTCTAAATCCATAAATGCAATAAAAACTTCCCTACCTTTATCTAAATACTGTTCACATATATGCTTCAATGTAAACACTTGATCTACACATCCCCTACCCACTCTGAAGCCTCCCTGCTCATCCGCAATCCTACATTCTGTCTTACCTCTAATTCTTTCAATTATAACCCTACCGTATACTTTTCCTGGTATACTCAGTAAACTTATTCCTCTATAATTTTTACAATCTCTTTTGTCCCCTTTCCCTTTATATAAAGGGACTATACATGCTCTCCGCCAATCCCTAGGTACCTTCCCCTCTTTCGTACATTTATTAAACAAAAGTACCAACCACTCCAACACTATATTATCCCCTGCTTTTAACATTTTTGTCATGATCCCATCAGTTCCAGCTGCTTTACCCCCTTTCATTCTACGTAATGCCTCACGTACCTCCCCCACACTTACATTCTGCTCTTCTTCACTCCTAAAAGATGGTATACCTCCCTGGCCAGTGCATGAAATTACCGCCTCCCTTTCTTCCTCAACATTTAAAAGTTAAAGAAAGGGAGGCGGTAATTTCTACCCTTACCTTACTTAATCTAACAAAATAAAAGTGTAAAGTTAAGGAAACAAGAAATAGACACCGGAATCTCTAAGAAAATAAACAAGTTAAAATGAGGATAGGTTGATTAGGGAAGCACAATACTGGAATATGATTGTATGGAATTTATGACCTTAAATGAAAGTGTAATAACATATGGCCTGGAGTTTTATGACTCACCATGGGGTTCAAATCCCACCTGTTCCATTTTTCTTTTATGAAAGAAGTGTTATGTATAAGAATGCATTTACAAAAATATTTAAGTTTTTGTATAACAAAGATTTGAAAAATGTAAAGATGTTAAAGGTGATGGTAATATTAATTGAAAGTACAGAAATGTGTAGCTGCTAGGGGCACTGGAAAGTATTTTTGATAGACAAAATTGCTTTAATAATGGAGTTACACACAATAGTGCATGGTCCGAATAGTAATATTATCAACTAAGTCATATTCAGGAGATTTTTATAAGCTACTCACAGTAGGCCCTACTTGGCACCAACAGCTTGGTATGGGATCTAGTTTCCCAATCAATAATAAATTCAAGCTGGGAAAAATTATGACCAAGTGTGGTGAATAATTTCACAGATTTTACCCCTCAAAAGACAGTTAGGTTACAGGAAATTGTGGATCTGGCAAAGAGTGCACCAGAGAAGGGCTTTTAAAGCTATTCAGGAAGACATAAATGAATTTTTTATATGATGAACTGGCTGTAGAAGAAATGGAGGAACTCAGTTTCCAGCTAGAGGATAAGGAAGGACAACCTGAACCTACACAGTTGATGCTCGAGATAAACGTTTTTTTTTTTTTTGTTTGTTTTGTTTTTAACAAGTTGGCCGTCTCCCACCGAGGCAGGGTGACCCGAAATGAAAGAAAATCCCCAAAAAGAAAATACTTTCATCATCATCATTATCATTCAACATATTCATCTCACTCATACATAATCACTGTTTTTGCAGAGGTGCCCAGAACACAACAGCTTAGAAGTATATACGTATAAAGATACACAACATATCCCTCCAAACTGCCAATATCCCATACCCCTCCTTTAAAGTGCAGGCATTGTACTTCCCATTTCCAGTACTCAAGTCCAGCTATATAAAAATAACCGGTTTCCCTGAATTTTTTTTTTTTTTTTCAACAAGTCGGCCGTCTCCCACCGAGGCAGGGTGACCCGAAATGAAAGAAAATCCCCAAAAAGAAAATACTTTCATCATCATTCAACACTTTCACCACACTCACACATTATCACTGCTTTTGCAGAGGTGCCCAGAATACAACAGTTTAGAAGCATATACGTATAAAGATACACAACATATCCCTCCAAACTGCCAATATCCCAAACCCCTCCTTTAAAGTGCAGGCATTGTACTTCCCATTTCCAGGACTCAAGTCCGACTATATGAACATAACCGGGTTCTCTGAATCCCTTCACTAAATATTACCCTGCTCACACTCCAACAGATTGTCAGGTCCCAAGTATCATTCGCCTCCATTCACTCCTATCTAACACGCTCATGCACGCTTGCTGGAAGTCCAAGCCCCTTACCCACAAAACCTCCTTTACCCCCTCTTTCCAACCCTTTCGAGGACGACCCCTACCCCTCCTTCCTTCCCCTATAGATTTATATGCTTTCCATGTCATTCTACTTTGATCCATTCTCTCTAAATGACCAAACCACCTCAACAACCCCTCTTCTGCCCTCTGACTAATGCTTTTATTAACTCCACACCTTCTCCTAATTTCCACACTCTGAATTTTCTGCATAATATTTACACCACACATTGCCCTTAGACAGGACATCTCCACTGCTCCAACCGTCTCCTCGCTGCTGCATTTACCACCCAAGCTTCACATCCATATAAGAGTGTTGGTACTACTATACTTTCATACATTCCCTTCTTTGCCTCCATAGATAACGTTTTTTGACTCCACATATACCTCAACGCACCACTCACCTTTTTTCCCTCATCAATTCTATGATTAACCTCATCCTTCATAAATCCATCCGCCGACACGTCAACTCCCAAGTATCTGAAAAACATTCACTTCTTCCATACTCCTCCTCCCCAATTTGATATCCAATTTTTCTTTATCTAAATCATTTGATACCTCATCACCTTACTCTTTTCTATGTTCACTTTCAACTTTCTACCTTTACACACATTCTCAAACTCATCCACTAACCTTTGCAATTTTTCTTTAGAATCTCCCATAAGCACAGTATCATCAGCAAAAAGTAACTGTGTCAATTCCCATTTTGAATTTGATTCCCCATAATTTAATCCCACCCCTCTCCCAAACACCCTAGCATTTACTTCTTTTACAACCCCATCTATAAATATATTAAACAACCATGGTGACATTACACATCCCTGTCTAAGACCTACTTCTACCGGGAAGTATTCTCCCTCTCTTCTACACACCCTAACCTGAGCCTCACTATCCTCATAAAAGCTCTTTACAGCATTTAGTAACTTACCCTGAATCCCTTCACTAAATATTACCCTGCTCACACTCCAACAGCTTGTCAGGTCCCAAATGCCATTCATCTCCATTCACATGCTCACGCATGATTGCTGGAAGTCCAAGCCCCTCGCCCACAACACCTCCTTTACCCCCTCCCTCCAACCTTTTCGAGGATGACCCCTACCCCTCCTTCCTTTCCCTACAGATTTATATGCTCTCCATGTCATTCTACTTTGATCCATTCTCTCTAAATAACCAAACCACCTCAACAACCCCTCTTCAGCCCTCTGACTAATACTTTTATTAAGTCCACATCTTCTCATAATTTCCACACTCCAAATTCTCTGCATAATATTTGCACCACACACTGCCCTTAGACAGGACATCCCCATCACCTCCTCACTGCAGCATTTACAACCCAAGCTTCACACCCATATAAGAGTGTTGGTACCACTATACTTTCATACATTCCCTTCTTTGCCTCTACAGATAATGTCTTTTGTCTCCACATATACTACTTCAGTGCACCACTCACCTGTATTCCTTCATCAATTCTGTGGTTAACCTCATCCTTCATACATCCATCTGCTGACACATCAACTCCCAAATATCTGAAAACATTCACTTCTTCCATACTCCTCCTCTCCAATTTGATATCCAATTTTTCTTTATCTAAATTACTGGATACCCTCATCACCTTACAATTTCTATGTTCACTTTCAACTTTCTACCTTTACAAGTTGCTGCATACTATTAGTAAAGCTGCAAATGTGTTGACTGAAAAGGACCAGAGATGCATTACAGATTCCTGAAAACTCCAGCACCATCATCTACTGACAACTCTGCATCAACATCAGCCCAAGAATCAGCCTTCCACCTTAGTCAAAGAATCACAGCCTTCCACTTTCAGATTCAGATTATTTATTCCAGCATGATACAATGCTTGTACAAAGATGAATGACATTTAGGTGGAAGGCTGTGATTCTTAGACTAGAATCACAGCCATCCACCTCACCCTACTACTGGGAACTTCTCAAAAGTCCTAAATATATATTCTCTGGAGCAGAGAAGCACATGATACAAATGAGTAAAAGAGACAGGAGAAAATGGTAAAATAATGAAAATCAGGGGTGCCATAGTGCAATAAGAGAATGCTGTATCAACATCCATGGCCTGAACTATTCAACATCTTATCAGAAGATACCAGAAACATTGCTGAAACAATTTTAGAAATTTTTAAGTGGAAACTCAATACGTACATACCTCTGCCAAGTGCCAGATCAAGCAGTCTATGATGGGTATGTGTGGTGGTGAGCCACCAATAGCAACAGCCTGCTTCACCAGAAAAGCAGCAGGTAAACCTAGCCTAGGTAAGGCCATGCTGCAGGGGTAGTGAAATTCTTGAAGCCCAATTCTCGAAGGTATGTCAGTATGGCTACACAAACCCTCCACTCCTCTCAAAGTCATTAACATGTACATACCTGAAAGTAGAATTTAAGGTGATTTTTCTTTTTTAAATTAAGAGACTTAAAAAAAAAAAAAAAAAAAAAAAAATCAAAGAAGTGTTGGAAACGCAGCCTTATTTTTCCCATATACTGCATACATTCTTCAGCCTAATTAACATGGTTTCATGTAACACATGAGCTTTGAGGAACATATGTTGTTCAGGATTTTTTTGTATTGCATGATAATTGGGGAGGAATAGACAACTAAATTAAGAGACAGGAGATACAGAATCATGCAAGGATTAATTCCAAGAATCCAATAAATGTTAAATAAATAATAAGAAATTGATTATCCATGTGGGATTAATGGAGAAGAGAAGAGAAGGAGTAGAAAGTAGTTCTTAGAAGAAAAGTGACTTGATCTTGTAAGAAAAAACTATGAAATGGAAAAAACACTGGGGACTGATATGCTTTTGACTCACTTGTGTGAGATTGCCGGACTTGAGTCTTGGAGGTGGGAAGTACAATGTCTGCATTTTAAAGGAAAGGTTTGGGATATTGGCTGTTTCGAGTGACATCTAAACTGTTGTATCTGGGCGCATCTGCAAAGACAATGATTGTATGTGAATGATGGTGAGTGTTTCTTTTTTTGATCACCCTGCCTTGGTGAGAGACGGCTGACATGTTGAAAACAAGAATGTGCAGAAATGATTGCATGACTCTATAGTCCTTTCAACCATGACCTGGTGGAGTAAGACAGACATGGGTGGAAATACAATGGGTTCAAGAGATGGGGCTGGGTTTTTGAAAAGATGAAAATGTCAGCTTATATACACAGCATGATGCCAGCAGATTAACATTTCATAAATAAATGACTTTCCATGATTTTTATTAAAATTCACTCTCAAATGCACTAGTGAAAAAAAAATCCTCAAATTTGACCTATTTATTAAACTATTCTCTTGCTCACTGCTTCATCTTCACTTCTATATTTCCTTCACCAGTTCTTAAATCTTAATCATGTTAAATTATAAAATTAGCCTACATTATGAAATTTAAATGTAATATATCCTGATTTAATAAATAATATATATATACATGTATATATATATAAATTTTATGATTCACCTTGTCTTTAGGGAGCACCAGGCAAAAACAGCTCGTCCGAAGTTGAAATAATTAGATACCAGGTGTTAATTCCCGTGACAGAGGTTCAGGTCCGTGCATCTTCAATGAAAGATATGGACTCTCATTTCCTCTGGGAACTCATTCATCTCAAGAGCCAGCTTCAGCGACGGTCAGAAAAGGTCTACCATCTATCAAATAGGTATGCAGTGTAACTTTCAGTATTGTCAAATTGTTCTGTAGCACAGAAATTTATATAAGTACTAATTTGGTAAACAAATATAACCTTGCCTTAATTTGTGTAGCAGGAGGGGTGTTAATGTTGCAGTTTAAAAACTGTAGTGTAAAGCATCCTTCTGGCAAGACAGTGATGGAGTGAATGATGCTGAAAGTTTTTCTTTTTCGGGCCACCCTGCCTTGGTGGGAATCGGCCAGTGTGATAATAAATAATAATTTTATTTACAGTAAACACAGTGCAGGGTAATTTTTTGGATTATAGACAATAATGTATGACATATTAAACAAAACTGTAGCTAATGGATAAATAGGACAAGGTTATACTTAGCAATTTGGTAACAAATATAATAGATACTTGACATATTCATATAGTTTATTTGGACATGATACATAGTTGTACAATGAATTATAGTACATAGTTGGATGTACATGCCAAAATCCCCTTGTATGCAGAGCATTATGGGCAGGCTTAAAATTAACAAAATTTACAAGCAATGAAAGGTTCAGTATTAAAAATTACAGTAAACAATTTACAATATGAAGTACAATGAAATTTGAACATATCGATACTGAAGCATAATAGTTGTACAAATTTGTCACATTACAATGTATAACAAAAGATGATCAATTTACTATGTTGTCTTGAAGTTTTAAGATTTAGTAATTGGGAGAATTATTGGTAATGTTAAATATTGAGTGTTGATTATTTAGTCCTGGGCAAGTAAGTGGTTTTTTAGAAGAGTCTTAAATTGATTTTCAAGCCTGGTTACTTTAATATGTTCTGGTAATGAATTCCAGATTTTGGGGCCCTTTATGTGCATAGAGTTTTTACACAGTGTGATATGGACACGGGGTACATCAAAAAGAGATCTGTGTCTTGTGTTATGGTCCTGTGTCCTGTTAAGGTTGGTGAGGAGAAGTTTGAGTGGAGGGTTTATGTTTGCATGTAGTGTTCTATGTATGTAGTAGGCACATGGAAATACAAGACAGGGGTTTAGTATGTTGTTCCAGACACACATGCAACAAATTTCCAAGAAAATCTCTAAGACAGTAGGCATACTATCAAAGATACGGTACTATGTTCCACAACAACATACTAATACAAGAAGGGAATGTATGAAAGTATAGTAGTACCAACACTCTTATATGGGTGTAAAGCTTGGGTTGTAAATACTGCAGCAAGGAGGCGGTTGGAGGCAGTGGAGATGGCCTGTCTAAGGGCAGTGCGTGGTATAAATATTATGCAGAAAATTCGGAGTGTGGAAATTAGGAGAAGGTGTGGAGTTAACAAAAGTATTAGTCAGAGGGCTGAAGAGGGTTTGAGGTGGTTTGGTCCTTTAGAGAGAATGGATCAAAGTAGAATGACATGGAGAGCGTATAAATCTGTAGGGGAAGGAAGGCAGGGTAGTGGTTGTCCTCGAAAAGGTTGGAGGGAGGGGGTAAAGGTGGCGTTGTGGGCGAGGGGTTTGGACTTCCAGCAAGCATGCGTGAGCGTGTTAGATAGGAGTGAATGGAGACAGATGGTATTTGGGACCTGACGAGCTGTTGGAGTGTGAGCAGGGTAATATTTAGTGAAGGGATTCAGGGAAACTGGTTATTTTATATAACCGGACTCGAGTCCTGGAAATGGGAAGTACAATGCCTGCACTCTAAAGGAGGGGTTTGAGATATTGGCAGTTTGGAGGGATATATTGTGTATTTTTATACGTATATACAGTGGACCCCCGGTTTACGATATTATTTCATTCCAGAAGTATGTCCAGGTGCTAGTACTGAACGAATTTGTTCCCATAAGGAATATTGTGAATTAGATTAGTCCATTTCAGACCCCCAAACCTACATGTACAAACGCACATACATAAATACACTTACATAATTGGTCGCATTGGGAGGTGATCGTAAACCGGGGGTCCACTGTACTTCTAAACTGTTGTATTCTGGGCACCTCTGCAAAAACAGTGATTATGTATGAGTGAGGTGAAAGTGTTGAATGATGATGAAAGTATTTTCTTTTTGGGGATTTTCTTTCTTTTTGGGTCACCCTGCCTTGGTGGGAGACAGCTGACTTGTTGAAAAAAAAAATTTTTTTACAGGATTGGATGACATTTGAAAATACCCATGGAAAGCCCCTGGTTATGCATAACATTTCGGAGAAGCTAATATAACTGACATAGCCATCGCACAAGTGTATACAAAGATATTAACTTTATTAATTCTAATACTGATACACACAATAGTAGTAAAAGTGTAGCATGGTACATGACAATAGGAAAAATGAAATGAGTTAGTCAGGCCAACTCAGATGTGTTCACAGGTACAATTATTTTTTCTTTTCACTAAGATAACATTTAACCCTTTCAGGGTCCGTGCCGTAGATATACGGCTATAAGTTGAGGGTCCAAACCATAGATCCACGCCATGAGCTCAGCTCACTCTGATAAGCTGTGAGCAGTAAATTTGGGCCTAGATATGAAAGAATACATCTATGTGGTGTGTGTGCTCCACATAAAACAAATCCTGCAACACACAGTGCATGAGAGAAAAAACTGAGACCGTAATTTTCGATTAAAACAGCAACTTTGCAGTGTTTTTTTGTGTGCTTTTTTATAGTTGTATTTGCGATTTCTTGGTCTCATTTGATAGAATGGAAGATATATTACAGAAATAGAGAAGATTTTGATTGGTTTTAGTAATGGAAATCGTATGAAACTGAACTCAAAGTAGCAGAAATGTTAAATTTTTACTGATGCTCAAGAGTAAACAAATGACCTCATACGTCTAATACACGCCAGGTGGTGGGTCTAATATACATTTACAAATGTGCTGATATTATTTATACAATTATTACAATATTGCATAACAGTAAATCTTCTATTTTTTGGTTTGAATAAAAATTCATTATGTGAATAAAAAATCAAAATGGAATTCATTTGTAAAGCCTGAAAGCGTAACTAATGAACAGAGGAAATGCTAGTTTAGTGCCAGGAATGCCTGCATTGTTTATTTGGGACCCTATTTTGAAATTAGAATATTTTGAACTTTGCATTAAATTGGCCAAATTACCAAATTCCGATCACTTTATTTTGTAGTTGAAACAGTTGACTTGGCGATTTCTTGTGTTCAGTCAATAGAAGAGAAGTAATGCTAGTGAAATAGCTAAGAATTTGTTCAACTGGAATAATGTAATTGGCCTAAAATGGGAGTCAAAGTCGGCAAAATCGCCAATGCGTAAATATCGCTGACACATCAAAATTTGCGAGAGCATAATTTCGTCAATTTTCCATCAAATTTCGTACTTTTTGCTTTATTACCTTCAGAAAAAGATTCTCTACCATTTCATAAGAAAAAAAAACAAAATTATTTTTTGAAAATTCTCGGACCCTGGTGCGCACTTTGAAATTTGGCCTCTCAACCCTGAAAGGGTTAACCCTTAAACTGTCCAAACGTAGATCTACGTTTTTTCAACATTTGAAAGTATGTAAAAAAACGTAGATCTTCTGTCTTTTACTTTTGAAAACGTGTAAAAAACTTTGATCTACATTTTTTTTTTTTGTTACATTTGAAAATATGTAAAAAATGTAGATCTACTTTTGGAGCACTACGCATGTGAATATAGATCTGGTTGGACAGTTTAAGAGTTAATAACTAACTAGAGATAATGATTAATTTAAGTATCAAAATTCAGTTAAGAATATTGAAGAGATACTACTCATATAGGGAAGCTAATACAAATAAACAAAAAGAGAGAGAGAGAGGGAGGGAGAAGGTTGCGCAAGCGATTTGACTAAAATATTTAGACTTGAACGGTCTGCTTTAGCTTAGTTTTAAATTGAGCAAGACTGGTGAAATCCTTTGGCTCATTTCTTTAATTATTCATTATCCTTGGTCCTTTAATTTGCTTAGAATTTCAATAGATATTCAAACACATGGGATATCAAATAGATAAGTATGAAACTGAAGCTATGTCAGAGATTGTGCATGTTTATTTATTTATTTATTTATTTATTTAAAAATTTGAGCACACATACAGAGGTACAAAAAATACAGATAAGAGCAGCATGCCAAAGCCACTTATACTATGCATAGCATTACGGGCTGGCTTAAAATTAACTTAAGATGAACTAAGCAATGATGACATCAGTGATAAAACTTTAATGTAAACAGAAATTTATAAATGTTATTAATGATTTTGTTTTTATTAGGTTTTCAGTGCATACTGAAACTAGGGTGGAGTAACAATAAATCACAGCATACACAAATAACCCACACATTGAAGAATGAAACTTATGACGCCATTTTGGTCTGAATTTTACAATTAACTAGTTGCACACAGGTGCTTCTGTGTGACTAGTTAATGGTCCACATAAGACCAAAACATCACAAGTTTCATTCTATATGCAGGATTATTTGTTTATTGTTCTAGTCACGGCATTGTGCCTTTCCATTCGAGATCACAGTATGCTTTTTTGTTTTCGAATCTCTGACTTTAGTTTATAGTGACAATATCACAAGCCTCTCTCAAAGCAGGGTGTCTGAATTCTCCTGTTATTTATTCTTCCTGGGGAAACAATAGGTAGACTACTGTTTTATGTCATCCCAGTTTTATATAAAGTAAGCTGTGGAGATCAGGTGTTACTTTTGGCTGGAAATATTTTAATCATGAAGTCCAGCACCCCTTCTTATCTCTCTTATTTTAATTTCATGTTCCTGTGACCTTTCAATAACTCACAGATGTGAGGTACTTTCATCTACCTTGTCTTTGTGCTTTACATCTATCTTGGGACATTACTGTGATCCAAGTCTGTCCCTCCCTCAATATTTCCTTTATCCAATGAATCTCTTCTCTGCTTTATACTTTTCAATCACATATTAATGCTATTGTTGTGCACACTGAGGATTCCACTTCAAATCCTCTGCCAGAGTAGTATATACTGCTGTTTTTCCTAATAGCATTAGCCAAGGGCA